AAAAAACGTATTCCTGGAAATATTTTTTCCAAAATATATTGCTGGTAATAGTTTTTTTTTCTTCAAAAACTTATTTCTGTTAATAATTTTTTACAAATAATTTCTGGTATTAAAACCTATTTTTACACTTTTATAATGCTTTTTACCTCAGTTTCAGGGTTAAATATTTGCCCATAGCTGGGACCCTAACAGGTGCTACCACCCCAGGTCAGGGTGGACCTGGGAATACCAGCAATTAAGAGGTGGTTCCACGCTCCTCAAAACCTCCTGATCAGAGGCCTTGCTGTTGGACGGAGTTTATCGTCTTACCCAGGAAGGCCAGCATTTGGAATGCGTCCTTAGCCATCCCAATACGTCTTCGGATCTCGGTGTTGCACTCATGGCCCTCTGTCAAAACGCTTCCCATATATTTAAACTTCGGCGTCTGCTTAAACTTATCTTTCCTAAATAGGCCCATGAGCTTCACTTCTGGACTTTTCTTACATTCATACAACCCCATATATTGACTCTCTACCTTGAGTGGCTTACCGATTCTTGTTCGATCATCGAAGTTAAGCCACTTCGATCATCGAAGTTTAGCCACTTCGAGCCTGGACAGTACCCACATAAATAGCCTCTTTGGGAATTCAAGATGTTGTCATCTTGGGTGTGCGGGTGGTGTAATGGATAATGTCTCAGAATTCTTAATCGGAGAGCCGAGTTCCAATTCCACTTAGGTTCATTATTTTCATTTACGTGCAAATACACTTAGGAAAAGTATAAATCCATTTCTTCTCCTCTCAGATATGGGTTAATTAGTAAGACTTGTAGCATTAAACCATTATTAAGCTCCCCAAAATTCTTACAATCTAAAAATATTTTCTGACTTTAAATAACCTGCAATGTTTGATAAGTCGTTCAATACAAGTTATTAAATACATCAAACAACCTAACTTGAGTGGCTTTTGAGCTTTGTTATGAGCTGGACATTAAAATAATAAGATCTTCAAAAACTATCAAAATGCAAGAGTCTTGAAGTGTAAATCTCAAAAATGTGGCACATGATGACGTCAATAATTCCAGTTGCAGTCAGAGGACTCGGAAAAGGGTTCGATAGACTCATTGGAGGGATTCTGGCAGTCCATGCTTTAAAGAAATACAAAAACATGTTCTTACAATTACAGCTCACACATTACAAAAAGCTTTATCTATGCAAAATGATCAGGGGAAGATGTCCTGAAGCCATTTCTTATATTTCGATCTGTGGTTGGAACCTGAAGGAAATATAATACGACAGATTCAAAGAAATAATAATAATAATAATATACATAAATGCATATATATATATATATATATATATATATATATATATATATATATATATATATATATATATATATATAAAATATGAAAAGAACAGTAAGATTTAAAATCTGGTGTTTTAGCAATTATTTGTGCTTGATTAAAAAATCGTACGACTCATACAGCAATCGCTATCACTTGACTTAAAATATTTTTGCCCTTCCTTTCCTTTAAAGGAGTGCCCTTTGCCGTGCTGATGTTGCTACATGCTTTACTTCTTGCCTATCTCACACTGCAATTTTTTTCTAAGCTCTAAACTAAACATTAAATCTGTTACGAAAAAAGAACTAAACAAAATGAACACAAAACGATCAGCTTTTTAAAAGGACTCGTAACTGGAAAAAACGAATGAAAAAAGAATGTTAACAACAATTACTTTTTTACATCCAACCCAGTTCTGCGGAATCAGAATCAACGTTGAGTTTAAGCAAGCGAATGAGCCAATTGGAGTAAAGTGCCATGCAGATTTAAATTTTTCCCACTTGTGACGAATACAGCTATCTATTATTTTTTTTTGCATGCTAGCATGCTAGATAACATTCGTGTCAGTCAGCTGTTGGCTCTCACGCTGGCCTATAGAATCTTCCTGCCTATTCATGGCAGCCAGCTATAGGCTCTCACTCTGGCCAGTACAAAATAATGCAAACTACATGAAAACTGCCGTAGAAGCATGAAAAAATCGATTATTTCCACTATCGATGTGAGTTGGGAAATGCAAAGTCGGTCTTGGCCTTCCCAGAAACTTGGAGCATGTGCATGTAAATTCTGGTGCAAATTCGTCAAAAATTGCGGCCGTGCATTCGTTACACACACACACACACACACACACACACACACACACACACACACACACACACACACACACATATATCCTGCCTTATATATATATATATATATATAAACCCTATAAAAACGGAATACTGTGTCGACTAGCCTATATCATTTTTCCACACTTTATATATATATATATATATATATATATATATATATATATATATATCATTAAAAAAAAATAATTATAATATATATATATATATATATATATATATATATACAGTGTTGATTGGATATAAGATAAACCCGGATATAAAAGATTTTCTCGGGTTCCAAATTAGAGCCTGTGTTAATGTATGAAAAATAGACCAAACCCGGATATAAGAGAAACCGGATATAAATAAAACCCGGATATAAGAGACTTCTCCTTCGGTCCTTGACAACTCTTATATAAAAAAGCAAAGAAATATATATATATATATATATATATATATATATATATATATATAAATAAACGGAATAATGGAATACTGGTTCGACTAGTCGATTTCATTTTTCCTCACTCTTACAAGTGAATCAAATAATCCCCCCAAAAATGTTTTTCGATTCAGGATGACCAATCTACCGACTTCCCAGCCGGCCACGGACGTCTAGCAATGGACAAGGGAAACTCTTAAATCTTCATGTACGACACCAAACCATGATAACTGATACTATATAAGCACACTTTATAATAGATTCATCTCTTCTGATCTAAGCTGTGGTGGGCTTGGGGAGAAACTAGTTAGCGACACATTGTAAATGACTAAATGGATTGTGGCGAGTTGAACTCCATAGGCGACACATATTGCAAGTATGTTCTGAATCAGTGACCGGGAAAAATTCGCTACGCCCTGCAGAGAGTCGACGAATTTTTGCTGTTGTTAGCTATAAAATTCTCCTCGCGATATGAATTTCTTTTATTAAGCACTTTTCCTCAGACACGTCGTCTCGAACGAAAGTCATTAAAACATTTAGGCTTTTTGTCAGCAATATTTATGACATATTGTTGCCGGTGAATTATAACAGGAAAAAAAGGTTAGAGAGAAGTGTGAACCAGTGAATAGTACATAGAGCGTAAAAAGAGATTTAAAAAAAGATGAAAAGGTTTGGAGGAAGGACGGAAGGAAGGAAAGAAATGAAGGTCGAAAAAAAAGGAAAGAAGAAAAAAAGGTAAGCAGAAATGAAAGAAATGAAAGTAGAAAGGAAGGAAGGGAGTTAGAAATAAAAGAGAGAAGGAAGACATAAAAGAAGAATAGAATGAATGTAGAAAGGCAAGAAAGAAAGTAAGATGGAAAGAAATGACGGTAGGAATAAAGAAAAAGGTTGAAAAGAGAGAAAAGGTAGCAAGAAAGAAAGGAAGGCAATTAAGGAATGAAATGAAGGAAGGAATGAAATGAAGGAAGGAATGAAATGAAAATAGGAAGATAGGAAGGAAAGAGGGCAGAAAGGAAAGAAGTGAGGTAGAGAGAAAGGAACAAGGAAAGAAATGAAAGCAAAAAGATAAGAAGGATAAAAGGAAGAAAATGAAGTTAGAAAGAAAGGAAAGAATTAAATAAAAGTAGAAAGGAAGGAATGAAATGAATGAAGAAAGGAAAGGTGGAAAGAAGGAAGGAAAGAGGTAGCGAGGGAAGGAAGGCAGAAAAAATAAGGGAGAAAGAAAAGAAGAAAGAAGGAAATGAAGGAAAAAAAGTAAGAAGGAAGAAAATGAAACTAGAAAGGAAGGAAGGAATTAAATGAATGTAGAAAGGAAAGAATGAAATGAAAGTAGGAAGGAAGGAAGAAGGGAGAGAAGGAAGGAAGGAAAAAGGGAAAGGTGGAAATAAGGAGGGAGAGAGGGAAGGAAGGTAAAAAAGAAATAAGGTAGAAAGAAAAGAAGGAAGGAAGGGAATGAAGGCAAAAAGGTAGGAAGGAAAAAAGGAAGAAAATGCAACTAGAAAGAAAAGAAGGAATTAAATGAAAGTAGGAAGGAAAGAAGGAAATGAAGGAAGGAAACGAATGAAGGAAGGAAGGAAGGAAAAGTGGAAAGAAGGAAGGAAGGAGGGAGAGAGGGAAGGAAGGTAGAAAAGAAATAAGGTAGAAAGAAAAGAAGAAGGAAGGAAATGAAGGCAAAAGTTAGGAAGGAAAAAAGGAAGAAAATGAAACTAGAATGGAGGGAAGGAATTAAATGAAAGTAGGAAGGAAGGAAGGAAGGAAGGAAGGAAGGAAGGAAGGAAGGAAGGAAGAAGGGAGAGAGGGAAGGAAGGATGACAGAAAGGAAATAAGGTAGAAAGAAAAGAAGGAAGAATGAAATGAAGGCAAAATGGTAGGAAGGAAAAAAAGGAAGAAAATGAAGCTGGAAAGAAAAGAAGGAATTAAATGAAAATAGAAAGGAAGGAAGGCAGAAAGGAAGGAAGGAAAGGAAGTAGAACGGAAAGAAGGGATGAAATGAAGGAAAAAGGTAGAAAGGAAGGAAGGAAATGAACGTAGATAAAAGGTAGGAAAGAAATAAAGACAAGAAGGAAGAAAGGAAGGACATAAATCAAGGCAAAAAGGTCGGAAGGAAGACAATGATGGAATGAACGAAATGAAGGCAGAAACATAGAAATAAAGTTAAAAAGGAAGGAAGGAAGGAAGGAAGGAAGGAAGGAAGGAAAGATGAAAATAAAGTAAAAAGGAAGGTAAGCAGAAAAGAAGAAAAGACAAAAAGATAGAAATGGAGGGAATAAAAAAAAGGAAGGATGGCGGAAACGAATCCGAGGAGACTTAGACATAAGTGAATGCAACAAACCCGACTGGAATTAAAACTCGGCTCTTCCATATTCGATACAGAGCCGTTATCCATTACACCACTAGCGCATGCGCACCTACAGCAGCTTATATTCCCAAGCTGTCACCCATCTAGGTACTGAACGGGCTTGACGTTGCTTAACTTCAGTGATCGTACGAGAATCGGTGTTTCAGCTTGTTATTCCACCAGTTCCAGCCTTCAAGTCTAAGACTCACCATTCCACGGACATTGTAACGAACCACCTTCGTTTCGTCTTCGATTGGTGAGACGTAAGTTTCACTCGAGTAGCTCCTTCCACAGAACCTCTGCTTTGTGGAACTGACACCCAAGAGGATGCTTCCCGATACTACAGCCTTAACCTGTTCAAGACTAGGGTTTTTATGTTCCACATAAAATATGTTTCTTATTCTGTAACCCTCTACTTCGAGGGGCTCCTAGGCCTTGCACAGAGTGTACTTCATTTTTAAAAAAAAGAAGAAACAGATAGCAAGTAGAAATTTACCTTGTTAGTGCAACAACAGGTTCAACTAATTCACAGCAATGCGAGCCACACAGGCGATATAATTTTTTTAATAACGTATGAGGCACGGTGGTGTAATGGATAGCGGCTCAGATTGAGGAATCGGAGAGCCGGGTTCGAATTCCAGTCGAATCCATTAAATTCACTTACGTGCTAATACCCTTAGGAAAGGTATGAATCCTCTTCTCCTTCCCTCAGCTATGGGTAAATAGCAGGACTATATAGCCTTGGATGGCAGCTGGTCTACCGCAGAAAGAAATGGCAACCTACTGCGGGAAATAAATCTACCTCGTCAGTCATTATCAGTATGGCACTTTATAATAATAAAATGAGCAATAACTTCTTAACCTGCCAATGTTCTTTTATGGACGTAAGCAGTTCCCTGATCATGTGGAGGATCAGTGAACTGTCATACGGCGCTGGCCCAGTGCGTGCTGCTAGCGTGGATATGACACGCTTGGGTGAATATTTTCGATTTATAATCTCCCAAAGTATTTGCGCTTAAGTGTAGGTAATGAACCCGACTGGATTTCGAACGCGGCTCCCTGATTTCTCATTCTGAGTCGTGATTCATCACACCACCCGTACACCCACACATCTAAGCTTACAGCAGCTAGTATCCACAAGCGTTGTCTAATTTCGATGTTCTGTCGAGAACCGTTATTTCAACGTGGTACAAAAGATTAAATAAAAGATTCAGTTCAGAATTTCCTGAAGGTCACCCAGATCGATAATACAATTTAAGCGCGTCGGGGAAATCTTACGATACCAGAGAACAGTATCAAATTCTCTGCCTGCTGATCGATGAAATCCAAACTGCGATGAAGAGTCAACATTTGCCCGATAGGAAAAATATGTGTCCTTCATTCAATATTTACACTCTCCTGCGGGAAGCACTATCTTTGATTTCGGCTTCTGTCTCGAGATATGGTCTATCATAGGGGTCGGCAACCTTTTGCTAATTATATGCCGACTTAGGGTTTTAAAATCATTCAGTGTGCCAACAGCATACGTATTTTTATAAAAGTCAAGGTTAATATACCTGTTCTATAACATATATTATATAGTAATATATATTATATATACTTTAGTATATATTAAAATAATAGTATATATTTAAAATAAACAGATGGAATAGAGAAGGAGTCGGCAACCTTTTGCAAACTATGTGTCGACTTAGGGTTTTAAAATCATCCAGTGTACCAAATGCATACATATTTTTATAAATTCAAGGTTATACCTGTTCTGCAATATAGTAAAATATTGAAACAGCTAAATATCTTCTTTTCATTGTATTAGTTATTAGTTCACCGAATCCTTGTGCTAAGAACAACTTAGATGGGGATAATAGCCAGTATTTAAATAATATGAATAACATTTGACACTTTTACAAATATATACGGGTATCCTCTACGTTACTAGTTGTAGGTAGGACTGTTTACCTAAACATTAAAAACAAAATATAAAACGGCTACGATCAGAAAAAGCGTAGATGTAAGATTTTATTTTATACAGAAAATATACAAAGTTTACGAATATATTACATGCCTTTTCTCATCTCCAGAAAAGATGAAAAAGCAAAGCTAAGGAATATTATAAAAGTCTGTCTATACACACAATTCTAGTACCTCATTTTGTAAAAGGTTACGTTTTCCCCACGTCTCAGAGAAGCATTCAAAACTGCAGTGTACAGACTGGTGCATCGCTCAGTGGCCGTTAAGTGTTACATAAGCTGCCAGGCGCGGCGCACACAACTTGGCGCAGGGAAAAGTAAGTTAGTACGGTAATTCTCAGACTTTACACCCTTGTGTAAAATAAATCGAAACATACGCACTAATTACTTTCCTTTCACAGTACGGTCAGATGTGTGATCGATTTCAATTTTTCCTCAATTTAGGTCATTTGCAGTGGTGTGCAGTAATACTGATTTTCCAAGCGTAGCTCAGATGTGGCACAAGGCCGAAAGTATGGGGGCACCTAGTGAGGATCGAACTCACTACTCAGTCGTAATTGTTCTAGCGAGACAAGCTTGCTAACCATTACACCACCTCGAGGTGCCCAAACGATATTCTAAGCACAGCTTAGATGTGGAACAAGACCGAAAGTATGGGACACCCAGTGAGGATCGAACTCACTAATCAGTCGTAATTGTTCTAGCGAGACAAGCTTACTAACCGTTAGACCACGCCTAGGTGTCTCAGTGGGTTAAAGCAATATGAATCTATTTTCGGATAGTATGATGAAATTTGTTTGGCCATAAAAATATTGTGTCATCCGTGACTGCATCAGATTTTAATCACGCCCCGACACTATTGTCTCGACTGTCGATTAGTTGTCCTACGGCCATTGTATGCGATGGACGTTACTCCAAGGAAGTGTACGAAAATTGTAACGCTGCAAGAACACAGTGACAGGCCTTACCTGTGAGCAAATCACAGTACTATCGACTGGTTCGGAAACTCTCCTGATTTAAATCCAATTGAGGACATGTGGTCAATGTGCAAGAGAAGATTTGGAAGAGAAAAACTGAAACCATCAGAATCTTTTTTCAGCTATTCGATTTAAATCCACCCTAATATTTGAGATGAAATAATATGAAGCGTATTGAGGATTTAGAAAAAAAAAATCAACGTTTGATAATAATTAAAAAAAGTTTATGTTGGCTACGCTTTCATCCATAAGTTACCCTTAAAAATAAACCTACTTCAATACAGCTTCGAGAATTAACATTATCATAACGCAAGGCCAAATGGAAACAGACATAAATAGACTAATGTCTAACAAAGGCGTGATTAAACTGCGTGAAAATGTTATTTGACGATAAACATGTCCAGGAAACACCTCGTATTTTCTTTTACGAGATTCTAGTTATTCCATTATCTGTAATTTTGAATTATCCCAACATATTTTTCGACTGATGTCCCCAATGTGTTCGGTTAAAGGAGCAAGTAGTTTATCGTCCTAGTCGACAGAAAAAATTATGTTTCTTTTCTAAGGGAATTCACCTGTATATACACCTGTGTTCGGGTAAACAAGGAAGCAGTTTATTGTCTTAGTCCAAACAAAAATTATGCCTGCTTTCTAAGTGAATACACCTGTTTATACACCTGTGTTCGGGTAAAGGAGGAAGCATGATTTTGTCTTAGTCGACACAGGAATTACGTCTGCTTTCTGAGGGAATACACCTGTTTATACACCTGCGTTTGTGTAATACACGTGCGACCGGCTAATACACCTGTGCTCGGGTAAACAAGAAAGCAGTTTATTGTTTTAGTCAACACAAGAATTATGCCTGCTTTTTAAGGGAATACACCTGTTTATACATCCGGGTAATACACCTGTGTCCGGGTAATACACATGTGTTCGGGTAAACTAGGAAGCAATTTATTGTCTTCGTCGACACGGGACTTACGAATGTCTGAGAGAAATTACGAAAGAATAAAGAAAGACAGAAAAGTTGCGAAAAATAGAAAAGAAAGAAATATTAAGGAAAAAAGAAACAAATTGATGGAAGAAAGTAAGAAAGATTATGGAAAAAAAAAACAAATCAATGAAAGAAAGAAATATTAAGGAAAATAGAAACAAATTTATGGAAGAAAGAAAGGAAAATAAAATAAAAATAATCAAACTGAAGGTAGAAAGAAAGAAATAAAATGGCAAAATGAAACAAACCTAGGAAAGAAAGAAATATTTAGCCAAAAAGAAACATCTCTGAAAGAAAGAAGGAAAGAAAGAAATATTAAGGAAAAAAGAAATAAACCGATGAAAGAAAGAAATATTAAGGAAAAAAAGACATCAATCAATGGAAGAAAGAAAGAAATTTTAAGGAAAAGAAACAAATCGATGTAAGAAAGAAAGAAATATGAAGGAAAAAAGAAACAAATTGATTGAAGAAAGAAAGAAACATTAAATTAAAAAAGAAACAAGTCTCTGAAAGAAACAAAGAAATATTAAGGAAAAAAGAAACGAATCGATGAAAAAAAAGAAAGAAATATTAAATTAAAAAAGAAACAAATCTATGAAAGAAAAAATAATTTTTAAGGAAAAAAGAAACAAATCGATGGAAGAAACAAAGAAATATTGAGGAAAAATCCATGAAAAAAGTATGGATGCAAGAAAGAAACACAAAAAGAAGCAAAGAAATCAGGGAAGAAAGAAAGCAAAAAAGACAGAAGTTCTTTAACAAACAACGAAGAAATGAAATCAAGAAGAAAAGAAATATATTTGTCTGTGAGCATGTCAGAAAAACAAGGAAATTGAAGGAAAAGGAAGAAAATGAATGAGAAATCCAAATATGAAATCAGAGAGAATGAATCTCATAAGAAGGTTGTTTTGACAAAGACACTGCAAAGTTTTATTGAGAAAAAAAAAAAAAAAACGTCGAAAGTGTACATTCTTCTGAGGATAACCAGTAAAATGCTTCCTTTCTCCTTGATCAGCCTTGTAGACGTGACTACAGCAAAAACATTTTCAAGCAACCACCATCTTCACACCCCCCCCGCTCTTCTTCGAAAAACAAGTAGCCTGTGTTTGTTCTATAAATATGATTCGCTCCAAGAAGCAATTGACGATTGACGACATCAAAGGAAACAGAAACTTCTAGAATTGCTCACTGTATTTATCTAGGAATAAATACTTCAGATTTTACCTCAT